CCCCTAGTGCGTATACACTGATTTCCAAATGGCTTGTGCCAGTGAAGATTTCACGGGTTGAGCACGATAGCGAGATTCTGCCCCTAGTGCGTAAACACTGATTTCCAAATGGCTTGCGCCAGTGAAGATTTTACGCGTTGAGCGCGATAGCGAAATCCTGCCCATAGTGCGTGTACACTGATTTCCAAATGGCTTGTGCCAATGAAGATTTTACGGGTTGAGCGCGATAGCGAGATCCTGCCCTTAGTACGTAAACACTGATTTCCAAATGGCTTGTGCCAATGAAGATTTTACGCGTTGAGCGCGATAGCGAGATCCTGCCCTAGTGCGTATACACTGATTTTCAAATGGCTGTTGCCAGTGAAGTTTTCACGGGTTGAGCACGATAGCGAGATCCTGCCCTTAGTGCGTAAACACTGATTTCCAAATGGCTTGTGCCAATGAAGATTTTACACGTTGAGCGCGATAGCGAGATCCTGCCCTTAGTGCGTAAACACTGATTTCCAAATTACTTGTGCCAATGAAGATTTTACGCGTTGAGCGCGATAGCGAGATCCTGCCCTAGTCCGTATACACTGATTTTCAAATGGCTTGTGCCAAAGAAGATTTTACGGGTTGAGCGCGATAGCGAGATCCTGCCCTAGTGCGTATACACTGATTTTCAAATGGCTTGTGCCAAAGAAGATTTTACGGTTGAGCGCGATAGCGAGATCCTGCCCTAGTGCGTATACACTGATTTTCAAATGGCTTGTGCCAGTGAAGATTTTACGCGTTGAGCGCGATAGCGAGATCCTGCCCTAGTGCGTATACACTGATTTTCAAATGGCTTGTGCCAGTGAAGATTTTACGGGTTGAGCGCGATAGCGAGATCCTGCCCCTAGTGCGTATACACTGATTTCCAAATGGATTGTGCCGATGAAGATTTTACGGGTTGAGCGCGATAGCGAGATCCTGCCCCTAGTGCGTAAACACTGATTTCCAAATGGCTTGTGCCAGTGAAGATTATACGCGTTGAGCGCGATAGCGAGATCCTGCCCCTAGTGCGTATACACTGATTTCCAAATAGCTTGTGCCAGTGAAGATTTCACGGGTTGAGCACGATAGCGAGATCCTGCCCTTAGTGCGTAAACACTGATTTCTAAATGGCTTGTGCCAATGAAGATTTTACGCGTTGAGCGCGATAGCGAGATCTTGCCCTTAGTGCGTAAACACTGATTTCCAATGGCTTGTGCCAATGAAGATTTTACGCGTTGAGCGCGATAGCGAGATCCTGCCCTAGTGCGTATACACTGATTTCTAAATGGCTTGTGCCAGTGAAGGTTTCACGGGTTGAGCACGATAGCGAGATTCCGCCCCCAGTGCGTAAACACTGATTTCCAAATGGCTTGTGCCAGTGAAGATTTTACGCGTTGAGCGCGATAGCAAAATCCTGCCCATAGTGCGTGTACACTGATTTCCAAATGGCTTGTGCCAATGAAGATTTCACGGGTTGAGCGCGACAGCGAGATCCTGCCCAAGTGCGTATACACTGATTTTCAAATGGCTTGTGCTAAAGAAGATCTTAGGGGTTGAGCGCGATAGCGAGATCCTGCCCTAGTGCGTATACACTGATTTTCAAATGGCTTGTGCCAGTGAAGATTTTACGCGTTGAGCGCGATAGCGAGATCCTGCCCTAGTGCGTATACACTGATTTTCAAATGGCATGTGCCAGTGAAGTTTTTTCCGGGTTGAGCGCGATATCGAGATCCTGCCCCTAGTGCGTTTACACTGATTTCCAAATGGATTGTGCCAATGAAGATTTACGGGTTGAGCGCGATAGCGATATCCTGCCCTTAGTGCGTAAAAACTGATTTCCAAATGGCTTGTGCCAATGAAGATTTAGGTTGAGCGCGATAGCGGCTGATTTTCAAATGGCTTGTGCTAAAGAAGATCTTAGGGGTTGAGCGCGATAGCGAGATCCTGCCCTAGTGCGTATACACTGATTTTCAAATGGCTTGTGCCAGTGAAGATTTTACGCGTTGAGCGCGATAGCGAGATCCTGCCCTAGTGCGTATACACTGATTTTCAAATGGCATGTGCCAGTGAAGTTTTTCCGGGTTGAGCGCGATATCGAGATCCTGCCCCTAGTGCGTTTACACTGATTTCCAAATGGATTGTGCCAATGAAGATTTTACGGGTTGAGCGCGATAGCGATATCCTGCCCTTAGTGCGTAAAAACTGATTTCCAAATGGCTTGTGCCAATGAAGATTTTACGCGTTGAGCGCGATAGCGAGATCCTGCCCTAGTGCGTATACGCTGATTTTCAAATGGCTTGTGCCAGTGAAGATTTCACGGGTTGAGCACGATAGCGAGATCCTGCTCTTAGTGCGTTAACACTGATTTCCAAATGGGTTGTGCCAATGAAGATTTTACGGGTTGAGCGCGATAGCGAGATCCGGCCCCTAGTGCGTATACACTGAGTTCCAAATGACTTGTGTCAATGAAGCTTTCGCATACGACCACATACGCAGATTATCTAGCTCACCTAGAGAAAAGCAATATCATTGCGACTGATGCATCTGTGTCAAAAGAAAAGGCTAGGGTTGGCACCTTCTCTCCTTCTTTTGACTGGTCTTTTTTAGGTCGACTCCTAGATTATACCCCTGTATGCATTGCAGAATTATTGGCTATTGTTCTTGCCCTACGCAAATCAGCAGGTATCAATACCTGCTGATTTGCGAATCATCAGCAGGTATGATTTGCGAATCATCAGCAGGTATCAATACAGATTCATTATCACTGTGTATTGCACTTTCTGCGGCAGCAAATACAGAGCTGATGAATACGTTTCGGCATTGAATACCGAAAAACGTAAAAACAACTGCATTTTCTATGGGTACCAGGCCACCGCGGATTATATTTGAACGAAATGGCGGACTTTTTGGAATTGCGGACTCTTCTTCTGGAATAAACAGTGGTGTGTATCTCGCCAGCTAGAGGTCACTTATACCAGATAGCGCTGTACAGTTCCACAACTGGATTATTACCTTAACAAAGCTCGACTCAAGGCATTACCACTTTTCCTTTCTTGCAACAAAATTAAAACAATGGGACATTTCTTTTTATTCTGTCGTCGGTACACTTATCAGAGAAAAAGATCTTTAGTAGCGTCATTACAGAGGTTACGAATACAAGTAAATGTAACAGTACTTTTATCACTTGGCGGCACTTCATGTAATTACTGCCACAGTGATATATGCTCCGCTGTGTTTGACTACACCAATGCAACTCAAGGATTACAGTGCTAGAGAGCCCTAACTTTGCAGATCTTTAGTTTATAATTCGTAGCTATGTCTGTCAAAAACAAGAGATGGTTTGACCGTTTGAAGCTCAGCAAACATTTTGATTTATTGGTTGTATTGTATCTAAACTAATTTTTCAGATTGGCTTCATTTCATTTTAGTTTCATTTAGGTATCCTGCCGCCCGGTTCTTGGCCCATTCCCCACTGTGGTGAGCGCCATTCATCTGAGGTCATCAGCATCGGCATCAGACTGCTTTCTGCGTAATGAGTAGTTCAGTTCAAACCACGGGTGATTGTGCACGTCAAATCTTTTCGAAGTTTCTCTTTACGCACTAGGTGGCGTTGAGGGAAAAGCCACGCTAGCGTGCTTGCCTTTTACAGCAAAAACTGTTATGAGATGAAAACTCGGGTCATGCACAGCGCCATAGTTGTCCGCCACCGCTGCTGCCGCCACCGGTGTCAATGACCACATCGCGCGCGAAGCAGTTATGGACACCAGCCCAGTACCAATGATGCCTAATACCAATGCCTTGTACCAATGACACAGTTAGGCTTGAACCTGGGTCCGCCGCGTGCCAGCCCAGTAATCTAACACTGAGCCACGCTGTCGCATGGGTCTTGCTCGCAAACTTGCCTTAGGCAGGCTTGTTGTCGGGAAAGGAATCGTGTTATTATGAGTAATAAGGCATTTCACAATACCGAAAGAACAACTAGTCGTCACACAACGCGAATAGCCTGACGAGTGGTTCATCCAATACTCTAACCACTTACAAACACTTGTTTTTGACCACCTAATAACAGGGCACATACCCACATCAGGCATAATTTTTCATCGTCGTCAGCCACTGCATGAAAAATTGGCACAAAATTTCTCGCAATAGCTGGGCGGATAACACGCTTCTTGGAAGAATTACGAAACATAGCATAGCGAATGCTGGCCTACTACTATAAATTTTTATTATTATTGCCGTAGTGGGCATCAAGGGTGTGCTTGCAGAAGTTATCCTATGAATGTTCAGAAATTTTACATTGTGCTAAATTAATTTCACAGTCAAAACAAAGTAATCCCATTTCCCTATTTTGGAAAACCTAAAAATATTGACTTGCATTAACCACCAGCTTCTTGGCCATTTCCTCTTAGTGGGTGAGAGCCACAAAAGAAAGGATCAAGCAAGCAAGAAAGGTTGAGAAAAGCCGCTCTTCTAGTTTTCGCTGTGACTGTCCTTCGCCTTTCGCGCAGGCCTGGCGTTTTTATAGTGGCTTACCTGCTGTAACTGATTAATTCATTGTACTCGCATGTTCTGACGTCCGATCGTAATGTGCGCTTGAACCACGGAATATTGCTGCAATACTACGTTGGATTGTGAAGCATACATACACGACACGTGCGTCTGTAAAGCATGCAAGTAAATTTCACAGCTTTTCCAAGCAGATAATTTTTTTCACAGTATTTGCAAGCAGATGCGTAGCTCTGTGATAGAATGCTTACTTGCCACGCAATCAACGAGGGTTTGATTCTCACTAAGACACAAAACTTTGATTTATTTTATTTGTATCTTTCTTGATTGTTTGGTCGCAGACAAGACGGTTTTTTCACTCACAACCAACGACTCTGACCGAACCACCAAAATTTCTGCGATATAAGCTCTAGTGTTATCGCGTTAAAATGTGTATTCTTTCTCACAGGTACTTGGAAATGAAGGCTAAATGCACTTACCTTTCTTGCAGCAGACACCTTGAAAACAACTCCCTAGACTTTTTCCCCGCAACATGTTGCAGACGCCTTTGTTAAGGCATGGTATGGTGGCGTCTTTGCACTGGTTAGCACTTCTAGCTGCGTTAGGAGAGAGAGTGGCAACGTTCTAGCTTCATTTGAAGGAAAAAAGAAACTGTGATGCTAGCATCACCAAAACAGAGCACTTATATTGAATGTATTAAAAATCATATCGGTGAATAATCTATGCAGCAACAAAAGTAAGAACCTTTGAACAGTGATGCTGATTATATTGTACCCTGGCGCGTCTTAAGCATTGCGTTCTTCGTAAGTCTAAGCAAAAACACATATATATATATATATATATATATATATATATATATATATATATTATATATATATATATATATATATATATATATATATATATATATATATATATATATAAGTTCGCAGGTTTGGTTCCTGCTCACGACAAGTAATCTTTTTACCCCAGTTTTCTTTGTTCACATTTACAATACAATTGCTCTAATAACTTCGCCTATGCATTGCTTGGAATTATTGTCTGTTAGATCTCATTAATATTCTATCAAAACATGGAAACAATGAGCCCTTAGTACACACTTCTTTCCCCTATTCAATAACGAGCGTCTCGTACTGGGAGACTTGGTGCCGTTATGTTGTATACGAGGGACTATTGGTCAGCTGCCAGCTCGCTATAAGTTCACATGCTATGTGACGCCAAACAAGCTCATAAAGAGTGTGCCAAACCTACCTATATGACTACAGGTCGTGCTGACTGACACTCCAACGTTTAAATTCACGTATAAACCCAATAAAGTGGCTGGGTGGAGATGATGATGATGATGATATGTGGGGTTTAACGTCCCAAAACCACCATATGAATATGAGAGACGCCGTAGTGGAGGGCTCCGGAAATTTCGACCACCTGGGGTTCTTTAACGTGCACCCAAATCTGAGCACACGGGCCTACAACATTTCCGCCTCCATCGGAAATGCAGCCGCCGCAGCCGGGATTCGAACCCGCGACCTGCGGGTCAGCAGCCGAGTACCTTAGCCACTAGACCACCGCGGCGGGGCAGCTGGGTGGAGAGCCGCCGTGGTAGATCAGTGGAAGAGCATTGAACGCGTTATGCGAATGTCGCAGGTTCGGTTTCTACTCACGGCAAGTTATCTTTTCACCCACTTTCCTTTCTTCACATTTACCTTACAATTGGTCTAATAACTTCCTGTATATATTCCTTGGCTATATTGTCTGTTTGATCTATATATGTATGTATATATATATATATATATATATATATATATATATATATATATATATATATATATATATATATATATATATATATCCAAGCAGATTCTGCGTGCGCAATTACAACGTTTATTTCGACGTTCTAGCCAGAGTCTGGCCTTCATCAGGAATGAGGGTACAGGTTGATGGTCCTCAGCTTCATTTAATCTAGAAGGACAGAAAGTACCCAATTGAAAACATGAGGTAGACTCCCCCCGTCCCGGGGGCCATCCCCCCTCACCTTCCTTTCTTTCCCTGTCTCTCTTTTTTGCTTTTACTTTTTTTCATCCCCGTTCTTTCTCCCTTTCCTTCCTTTTTCTTCCCTTCCCTTTTGTGATGATCACCTTTCAGATGTCCGCGTTCTGCATATACTTCTTTCCACTAGCGTTTTGTTCCCCACCAGACTGCACCACGGCGCCGCATAGCTCCGGCGATCCGGTTCGGGAAAAAGAGCTTTTTTAAGAAGTTTAGGCCTATAACTACTCAGTTCTTCACGGACGTCTTCTTGGTAAAACAGTGGCGCCACGCAATGCCGCAGAGGTTGGCTAGTGGTTGCAGTGTCAATTTTGGCCCGCTCCTGCATTACGCAGTAGGGGGCTCCCGATTGTGCACAGAATGGCTGTTGGATATGTCATGCTTGGCACAATTGATTGGTTAGTAAGGCAGAAACAGAAACAGACGATAGCTGCACTTAGAAACAGTAGTTACACTTAGAAGTATTTCAGTTGTCCAGTGACCTTCGTTGTCGCAGTGCCATCCACACAATTATTATGGCCGTTATTGTTTTCTAATGCTTTAATTGCTGAGAGTGTAACCAAGTTATCATTTATTGCTCTTTCGATGGTGTTAAAATGCTGGATGAGTTACGACTCTTGTTGTTCACGTTCTCCATTTGACTCAAATCACGTTTCTATGAGTGTTACTGAGAGTTTGCTGAATGCCTGGTCGAGAAGGTGGAGATGTTTTGATAGAGACATACTTGGGGCTGATTTCCCATGGGCTCTGTGAATATTGAAACAAATCCTAAATGGTGTTTTGTTTGTCTGATGTACTGTTGTACAACCGATGTACAGTTTGTTCGATGTAGTGGCGCTCGAACCCTGCTCTGCAGGTTGCCAGCTCAGCATTATACCACTGAGCTACGCTGTTGCTTGTGACCTGTTGGTGAACTTGCCTTAAGTAGGCTTGATGTCGGGAGGACAATCACATAAACAGGACTTATAAAGCGGTTTAAAACAGCAAAAAAACACCAGTCGTCGCACAATGCAAATAGCGTAACGAGTTGGCCGTCCAATGCTCCAACCCATTACAGAAGCTTGTTCTTGTTCCCCTAAAAACTGTGACGCATACCCACTTCAGCAATAATTCGTCATCGTCGTCAGCCATTGCATGAAAAATTGGCACAAAGTTCCTTGCAAGTGTTCAGCGAATAACAGGTTTCTCAAAAAAGTAACAAAAAATATTGTTATGAGTGATTGTATTTATTTACAGATGAGGTGAAATGGTGTTGGGAAAGAGGAGCGCACTTCTGAGACAGGCCTAGTCCGGTTCACCCAACCCCACAGTCGAAGCGCCGCTCCACTACTCTTCTTTCGCGCCCCGTAGGCTCGCGCATTTTCGTTGCATTTCCCCCGGTGGCAGACAGACGAAGCTCGCCGAGCGAATTAAACAAGCCTTTGATGGTACTGTTCGAGCCGGGCTACGTGAACAATTTGCGTAGTGCGTGAACGCCGGTTATTGGCTGTGACTCGGGCGAAAACGTAATTCACGTTACTGAGACGAGTGACCATCGCGAATGGGCCGTGAGAGTTTGCTAGAAACTTCCGGTACAATCCTTTCCTACGAACAGAAGTCCACAGCCAAACGTAGTCACCAGAAGTAAACTCTACGGGGATTTGCTTGGCATCGTAGGGACTTTTGCAGTGTTCTTGAGAAGACAATTTTTAAAGACGCTCTAGATGACGTGCTCCTTCAGCAAGAAACAACATCTGAGCGATGGACAGATCTTTCTAATGAGAGAAGAGTAATACAGTGTCCAGAAAAATCCGTGGATTTCGTGCGTAAAGCAGAAAGAAGGACCAATGTCCAGTAACGTCATGCTTTGCGGTGTTATACGCGTAACGAACGGTAGGACGGCGTCTCAGTTTCTGAGGTCAGCATCAACGTACATTGATAGCATATTCGTAAGAGTTCAATTTCTTTTCTCAGTGAGACTGGTAGTTTGCAGATGGTAAGAGGTGGAGTGGTGATAAGAGCACAGATGCGCAAATTTTTTTCAATCACATCGGAGATAAATTGCCGTCCACGGTCACTGATGACAACCCGTGGAGCACCATAACGCAGTATGACCCATGGTAACGAAAAAGAAAAAACTGCGGCTCCTGAGGCCGGCGCCAGTGCGTCCGTTTCCGTATAACAAGGTAAAACATCCGCAGACACTATAAAATATCCGTGGCCGGATGGGGTCTTAGAAAGGGGTCTCAGCAAGTAAATGCCGACTTTTTCAAAAGGAGGTGTTGGTGATGGGATATGCTGCAAATAACCTGCCGGGTCAGTGATGGATCGCTTGTGGCGCTGATATATAGCACAGCTGGCGAAGTATTGTTTTGTGGTTTTCCACATTTTCGGCCAGTAGAAACTCTCATGTAGTCTATGTAACCTACGTGTGAAACCTAGATGACCGGATCTTATGTCATCGTGCATAGAACGAAGGACGACCTGGTGCAGGCTTTCCGGCACCACCATAAGCAACGGGAGGCTGTCGGTGGAATAGTTTCTTTTATGCAGCAAGCCGTTTGAAATTAATAAGTGCTTGTCGGCGGAGTTATGTGCAGCTTCGAGCATTGGTTTAAGCGTAGGGTCACGCTCTTGCTCACATTTGAAGCTGCTGGTATATTGGAAGTTGGACGAAACAGAAACTAAGTAGTCATCAATGTCATCTTCGTCAGCACTAGATGGGTACTGAAAGCGGATAAGCAGTCGGCGTCTGTGTAGCATCATCCAATCTTATAGGTAACCGAAAATCTGTACTCTTGGAGGCGCAACGTCCAACGAGCCAGCCGGCAAGACGGCTCGCGAAGTCCTACAAGCCAGCATAGTGAGTGATGATCGGTCACTACTATGAACTCGCGGTTATGTAGGTACGGTGGGAACTTCTGAGTGGCGAAGACAACTGCTAAGCATTCGAGCTCGGTGATGGTGTAGTTCTTCTCTGCTCTGGTCAGTGTCCGACTGGCATGTGCTACGACGTGCTGACGGCTGTTGCAAGTCGGATAACCACATTACCAACACCTAGCCCACTAGCATCAGTATGAAGTTCAGTCAAAGCATCAGGATCAAAATGTTTAAAGTGTGTTTTGAAGTCGATAAAAACTTAAGCTGTTAAAATGCAGCAGCACATTTATCATCCCACAAGTACGGTGTGTCTTCATGAAGAAGAGACGTCAGTGAGGAGGCAAGTTGTGCGAAGTTCTTAATAAATCGGCGGAAATATGAGCACAGACGCAGAAAACTTCGCAGGTCTTTCACTGTTCGTGTTTGTTCAAAGTTGCTAACCACTTCGGTCTTCTGTGGTTCTGGTCCTACGCCTTCTTCATCCACGAAGAAGCCTCATACGAGGGCTTCACGTTCTCAAATAGGGACTTTTTTGAGTTGAAAACAAGGCCAGCTTCGCGTGGGCATTCATACACAAGTGACAAGTGACATGCTATTGAAAAGTCTTTTTGTAGATAATCACGTCATCTATATATCGCATGAAATTTCCCAATTTAGTCCACGGAGGACTGTATCCATAAATCTCTTGAAT